TTATTGTTATTATTATTATTGTTATTTTATTTATTTATTTGTGTGTATATATACATATGTACATATATATATAATTACAAACTGAAAAGACAAATTAATGTGTGTATATATATATGTATATATATATATATTATGTGTGTGTGCGCGTGTGTGTGTGTGTGTCTGCTTCTATATATTTTTCCTATATACATGTTTGTATGCACACTAGTGCTAAAAAAATTATATATATATATATGTGTGTGTGTGGGTGTCTGCTTCTATATATATATATATAATGCACACAAGTGCTAAAATGCATATGTACATAAACCATGCTACCCCAAAAACTGGAGCCCATTCAGTAACAATGAGTCCGGAAGAACCCATTTATTCACCAGGGGCGGTGCTGTGCAGAAGCCTGGGGAGACACTGCCCGAATCCCTTAACCCTAAACTGGCTTCGCTTCCGGTTCAGGGGTTTGGGGTTCATAGCGAGCGCAGGGCCTGACCGCATGACGATCATGATGCCCTAAACTTTTACCCAACATGTATAGCAGGTGCGGGGAACATGTCGCCATGAACCCGCAGGAAGTGTGTCTTAGCGGTATGGCTGGTAGTATAGTAATTACTCAAAACCGTGCCACGTAGAATTGTTAACATCAACATGCTTCTCATAATGCAAAAAGATATTGCCGGCATTACAGAAACCGACATTTGCGTAACATTGCGGTTCGTGCTTTCATGCAGCAAATGATACTGAAATCAGAAACTTGCAGATTTTCCGCGCGCTGGTGTCGTCCATACTGAACGTTGCGAATCTCGCCTAGCATTGTTCGTTTTGCATTGTGAGTCATGTTGACTTTGTCTCCAGCATTACGGATACTGCACGAATATATATATATATATGCTCTAGTCTCGTAGCTACATTTACGAAGACTGCAACGGCTTCTTGCATTTAACCGGTACAGCACACACATACGATGGAATGCACGTGCATAGCCAGCAGTGCCAATGTCACCAACTCAAGGAGTTATCGGTTGCTAGCGCAATTATTATTCCTAATACTGCCAACTCTGCAAAGCTTGCACGGCTGCTTGGCTTAGTGTTGCTCGTCTCATCATACCGATGCCACTAGCAACCATTATGCAATGGCTGCGGCCTGTATTGTCGCTAGCTAGATTGTAATGCCACCAGCATTCCTACTACGGGTATTGCCTATGTCCTCTTACTGCCTACACCGTATCATAAGTTTTCTTTATATAGCCAGACGCACTCATGCGACTAGGTAGTACCAGTGCTGTCCGTTCAATGGTTCATGAGGACCAGCCAAGTTCACATAAACGGCTCCCACGGTTGAGGTCTGAGTCACGTGTGTTGCACATTGACTGTCGTTGTACACATCCTGTGTGGCTGTTTCAGTTCACCTTATTTGCGCATGTAGCGAAAACTGTCAGACTTTTTTTTAACGATCGCTACTTGCAACAATAGCATTGAGCGCATCTGCTTTATGCACATGTTGCCTGATGTTTCTTCGTGATCTCGAAGCTGTGAATTATTAACTATATATATATATATGTATATTTTTTCCAGTCGTGCTATTGAGAGTAGCTGTGCTCCTTGATGTTGTTCGAAACATTAGTGATGATAAGAAGTTCCGTAGCATTAGAAATACAATGATATCGGTAGTGATGTGGGGATACTTCAGGAATTGCACAACCTCGGAAACAATTGGAAGCACTCATGCAATCAGTCGTGCTAGCACCTCCAGGTCTGTCCGATTATACCGGTTTTTGAGCCATGGCTTCAATTTTCAAACCTAGGTAGAATAGAAGGAAGCCTAGTGTGTCCACATGTCTGGGCTGAGTTTGAACACGTTCTTAAAATTGCTGAAGCTGGCCATGCTCAGCGTTGGCTTACCAGCAGTGGTTCTGGTATTCGTCGTCGTTGGGGTAGTGACCGGGTAGTGACCTTTGTCGTAGCAGCAGAATGCTGCAAGTAGATTCACAGCTCAACTACCTCAAACCCAAACCTCGAGCGAGTAAATACAACAGTTGTCCTGATTCCAGAGTGTTTCAATTACTGCTCAGAAGCACCACAACATGCAAGGTTTTGAAGCTTTGCACTCCGAAATTCCTAGAGTTCTAAAACGTCGAACAGGTGCGAGCAAGAAATAGAATTCCGAAGTTGCCCGAAAATCAGACTCTCCGAAATGTGCTTCACTGCTTTTTGAGATTGTTGGACAGTAATAGCCAAGTTTTCGAAAATCAGACTCTCCGAAATGTGCTTCACTGCTTTTTGAGATTGTTGGACAATAAGTTTTTTTGCCGTTAGCAGATTCTGGTCCATGCGAGGCTAGCTTCTGTACGGGCAAAATCACGGACACACACGCACACACGGACTTAATTAAACAAACACAAAGACTTCCATGTGCAAACTTGTGAGTATGTATGTATACATATATATATATATGTAAATTTACAGCACATGCATACATGTACATGCATGATATGTATATCTGCAAATATGTCTTGATACTGGAAGATTCGCATCTATTTATTCCATATTGATGTGCATATATAGGTGTGTTTGTGTATTAGGCACGTAGACCACACATGCACGCACGCGTGCACGCATGTGTGTGTGGGCTTGCATATTGTCATACATTCTCCAATTTCTTTCAAAAGTAGTTAACTCTTTTGTGTCTTTGTCGTTTTTTTCACTAGATGAGCTTTAAGAGGGGTTAGTGGAAGGAGTGCAGCAAGCGTAATGATTCGTTTTTAGGTGTGCATGTGTAGTTGGATGTACTTGTTTAGCAAAGCCAAGGTTGCCGAGATGAGGATGCAAAACAGTACCTGCCAGGACCTGCCTCCAGATGACAACTGGAGAAAGTTCTGGACAATGTACCCTACAGTTCTTGGGTGGTACTATGGGCGTGACATCACAGGAACTACCTTCTACACGGCCATCATGCAGACCGCTAATGCCGCGATTTCTGGTGGTTGCCCGGTTCTTTCGCAGTCGCCAATCGAGTTGATGACACAAGCTTCTTGGTGCCAGGGCTTGCCAGCTTTGTTCCGTCCGCTCGCTACGGTGTGCCCGCAAACATGTGGCTGCAATCTTGCCTCCGGAGAGATTCCCAGCTATTGCCCCGCCAGCTGCGCAAGGGCTGGCAACACCTCGTCTTCGTGAAGATGCTTGTGCTACTGGCATTGAATGCCGTGGTAGCTTCACAGATGTGTTTCACGCAGGCAGCCGGCACACGCCGTTTTGCTGTGGGAATTGAGTACTGACGACCAGGCAACGGGTGCCACGTGGTGCTTTCTTCTTGCAGGGATGTCATGAGATATGATAAGAAGATACGAAACGACATGCGATCCGGTTTCTCACGGAGCGTGGCTGAAGGTAGATGGCAAGACGAGCTGCAAGCGGCGACATGTGGCATCTGAGCCCACGACATCCCCAAAACCGAAAACCGGACCGTCAGACCTCGCCTGACTTGTCCGAACGGTGAGAGCGTAAGCGGCGTAAACCAGCGTAAACCGAAACTGGATGTTGGGGTCCTGCTCATGGCCAGAGAGCCATGCAATTACCCCTTCATTAAAGCATGAGCTTAAATCTTGATGTGAAGCTCCTTACTTATATAGTTTCAGGTATATTCCGTAATTATGTAAGGGGTAATTATTGGGCTCTCTGGGCGGCATGAATGACTGTCATGCCTGGCAGCGGTATGTGTTTGAGTGTTAGGGCCCGCTTCAAGAGGGACATAGAGTTCCAAACCGGGTTTACTTTAATGTGAGGTTTAATTTCGACTAAACAACCACGTTCTTTGGGTTCAAGATGTCCAACTGACAGTAGCTAATATCAGCAAAAACTGCAGTAACTAATGCACTGTGTGCTCGCGACAGACACAAACCTCGTTATCTTCTACTCACGAGTTCCGCTACCAGAGTTTTTGCTGCTGCGATTTGCTGGCTGCAAGATGTCTGCAAGCAGTGAAACCTCCTGATAAAGAATAGTAAGAACTCAGCAGTCAGAAACACATGCGTCAGTAGCGGAGGCACCGATTTTGCGGGCGCCTGGTGGCCTTGGCGGTAGGTATTGGTTTGTGGTGGTGGTGGTGGTGGTGGTGGTGGCTGTCGTTATTGTGGGAGGTAAGAAGGACAGGAGGTGGACAGGCTGCCAGGTAGGTTGTTGCCATGTTGGTGGGTTGGTCAGTATACGCCGTATAGAGTCCGAGCTCACTCTTAGAGTGCCGAAAACTCATGCGTTCCATGATTCAGGTACCCCTCAGCATGCCGTGGTTTCAGTCGAAAGCATAGCCAATGGGAGCTTCTTCAATTAGCTGTGGCAGTGCCGCGGGCCAGAGATATATAGGATTCAGGGAACAGTCACCCGCTGTGTAGGTGACGGAGTACAGAGTCTGTGACTTTATCGGGGAGATCTGCAGAGCAGCAGGTTTCATGCTCCAGACGGGTCGTTAAGACGACTGCGCCCAGAAGAAAGCCATTGGTAACAAACAGCAACGCGGACACTGTTACCAATGAGGTAGATCATGATGAAACAAGTATGCCGGTCATGCCTTTATAACAAGATCGAGGGATCTGCTCCCTCCCGATCACACTGCTTCCCCAGGTAAGTATGGACTCTTGGGAGTGCAAGGATTCGGGGTCGGAGAAGTGGAACATGACGTCGAAGGAAGAGGGTGGTAAAGCGCCAATATTTAAATATTTGTTTACACGTTAGACCCGGCCATCAACCCTAGAATTGTGGCAGTCCGATTCTCTGCCTCTCTTTCGGCAGGCAGAATTACGGCTTCCCGGCATTTGCACAGAGAGAGAGAGGAGTCTTTAGCACAAAGTAAGATAAGGCTGTTTGTAACTACAGTGGGTTCGACACCGGCACATTAAAAACCGATACGTGGCACCGCAGCACTTTTTTCTTCCGTCTGCGAAGCAGCGGAGGAAGGATTGATCCATCTGCTTGTTCTTATATCCGTACGGCCACGAGGCTCGAGGCTTGTGCGGAAGGAGCCAGAGGGCTCTTCAAAGACGACGAAGGCCGTTGTTCCGCCTGCTCTGAGGATGGCTGCTACTTGCTCCCCTTGTAACTATGGGCATGACTCGACGGAGGCTGGTACTGTACCCGGTGTTTTGGTAGATATGTCTTCCCCGTCTGGGCCGGACTTGCCGGACAGCTCCGTCTCACGACTGCAAGATCAGCTCCAGTCCGACATGGCAAGGATCCACACCCTCTTGCAAAACCAACTTCAGTCTGACTTGGCTCGCGTCCATGAAAGGCTGGAGCGTTTGGAGGCACAATTGGGGCTCGAGAAGAGACCTGCTGCAGAGCCTGACTCCACGAGCCTGGACGAGGTCAATCTTCAGGTTGGGTGCACAGATCCAGCGAAATCCGGGTCTAAATGCAATGACGAGAAATTGGAGGAGTTTTCTGAAGTCCACTTTGAAGAAAGTGTTTGGAGCATTCCAGTTGTCTTCGGTTTGGTGGATGTTGGCTGCTTTGACATGCTCTTTGCTGGCATTCTCGTGTTATTGAACTTGGGCATGCAGGCAGCCTTTTCATGGATTCTCTTGACAGCCGCCCAGCTCCGATTGAGCGGTGTTCTCTGTCTCAGATATTTAGCTATAAGATGAGGTGTTGACTTATAGGTAGTTGTTGTTTGTAGGACTTGCGACCCGAGGATGACTTCATTGGTGAGGGCTTCGATGCCCAAATGGATAGTGCCAAGACCTGGCGGATAAGTGTTGCACATGATCACAAACATATGGATCTAGCCGACAGGAGCTTGGTGTCAAGAGTCTGCGCGGGCGACAAGTCGCTCATTCTCTCCACGAACCAGGCCACCTTGGTGAAGCACATCAACAGCTTCCTTGGTGTGAGCGAGTTGGACTTCGAGTCACCATTTTTCCAGCCGGGTGTTCTCCTGTGCATGCTTTGCATCATTGAGTGGAGCCTCTGCGTTTACAAGGACTGCATGCATGGGCATGTGATTCATTGTTTCATGTTGAACGCATCGGCCGTGACATTTTCGGGGAGGAGAGCAACAGAGTGCGGGAGGGACACAGAGAGATGTTACTAACGGTGTGTGATGGTGCTGATTCGGAGGGGGGAAGGAGAGCCTGGTGATGATGATATTGTTGTTGCTGCTTCAGTTGTCGTCGTCCGGCCGCCTTGTCCTCGTCCTCGATGGTTGGGAAGATTGGGGGAGTGGCTATTGTGATGATCACCATCATGACCCTGGCGGTGTCATATGAACTCCACACACGGAAGTTGGTGTCTTCTTGGGTGTTTGCAGTTTTACGCTGTTCCACCATATCCAGTCGGATCCTGGGAGGAGCTTGTCTGTAGAACCAACGTAAAGCTCAGAGATGTTGCGTCTGTCTGCACACAGGAGTTGCGCCGGATATGGCTGCAGTTTGAGGCTACCTGTTCAGTTGCAAGATCTCGCAGAACAGCTTTCCTTGACAACTCCTTCGGCAGCATCTCATGGTTTCGGTTCTGCATGCTGCTGACCACATACCTTCTGCGAGTTGGCATCGCTTCTGTTCTACTGGGCGGTGGGGTTCTCTGGCTCGCTCGGACCACGTCCATCGAAGAACTGATGTTGAACGCAGTGGCTCTCAATTCCATCTTGGACATTGACGAGTTTATCTTTGCAGGTATGACACCGATCAAGATTCAGCACGCCATAGCGAATCTGACTCCAATTCGGATCAAGTACGGCCGTTGTCGCAGTCAGCTGGAGGCCTTTGTTCATTTCAGTTCACTCTTGGCGCTTGTTTGTGCGTCCTACTTCCTCTTTCTAGTGCCCTTGAGTGATACCATGCTTGCCGTGAAAAGGGAGTTCTGCGGGGGCCTCCAAACATTTGTGGTTTCTTACAATGCTGAAACACAAGTCTTCGTTGGACTCTACACGGCCGAATCCAGCGATGCACGAAACCTGTCGATTAGTGAATCTGCCGTGCAGTCTTTCAAGGGTGCACCTCCTGGGACATATCCAGAATTCATAAGGTTTTCTGCCACCAAAGGCTTGTTTCAGCAAGAGATCTCGCGCAGTATGGAAGACGAGGCTTCGCAGTATCCCCTTTGCCTCGAGCTCGACGTTCTCAACGAGAATGGGAATTTCCACACCGACCTGACGCTGCGACCCTTGGCTACCATGCTCCTGAATTCTGCCGCAGCTGCTGTGGGACGTGCGGGTGCGCAAAGCTGTCAAGAGCTGCGAGCCCACTGTGACGATGCAGACGGCCGCCTGCTGCGTCTGGTGTGCGGTGAGACATGCGGTTGCACAGATCCCTTCAGTTCTGCATGGTACAAAGTTCAAGCCCAGGGTTGTTCTGTATCTTGCCTGAATCGCAGGCAGCCGAAGTTGCAGAGCCGTTCCTGCCAGGACTTGCCTGTGGATGATACATGGCGCACGTTCTGGTCTAGCTATGCGACTGTATTGTCCAGCTACTTTGGCCAGCCAGTGGAGGCCACTCAGGCCTTCAGCGCCGTGAACCAAACCCTGCAGGTGTTGGGGGTTGGTGGATGCCCAGCTTTGGCGCAATTTCCGCAAGACTTCCTGACTGGCACGCCTTGGTGCGAAGGCACCCCGGAGCTGGTTCGATCTTTGGCGTCCATATGCCCACAGACATGCGGCTGCGACAATCCGTCGCAGGTTTCACCTCTTTGCCCTCCCAGCTGCCGCATTCCGAATAGCAATGCGTCGGCTTGATGCGAACAAGTCTGGTCAGAAGTTTGTCTGTATGATCTATGCCAGCTTTTGCTTCTCCGTCTGCTACTGTTGTTGCCTGGGCATTTTCCTACGTCATCTGTCACATCATCTGTCATTATCTGCTGCTGTGTTGATCGTGCTTGGTAGCGTCTATATCATTGCCAATAACCTAGCAGCAGGTTGAGAGGGATAGTAAGTTGATAACAGCCTGCAGAGGCGCACTTGAGAATCAACTGCGCTGAGGCAGGCGTGAATCCCACAAGACCTAAACAGACGGTGGAGCCTTGCCTGCCTCGTGCGATAGTCAGAGTCGAAACAGACGGCGAGTCGAAACAGCGTGGCAACTCAGATGGGTGTGCAAATGTGTACAATAGGTGCCATGCGGCTGAGCTTGCACTTCGCCTGGTGCCTTTCAAGCTTCCTTGACAGACTTTTGTTTGCTATTAGTTGTGTTTCGCACAGAAGTGAAGATCTCCAGAAAGCAAGGAATTAATCAAGTGATCTGAGGATATGTAAGGTATCGGGCCGTGCCGCCAGGGCCGCATACTAGCAAGGCAGCTTATGCGCCGCGCAATCGACAGCATGTGTGTGAATCTCAGTACGAGCAGGTTATCCATAGATCAAGGGCCCGTGGAGATGCAGTATTGAATTGCAGCTTGTTCGAGCCATGCCGACACCATCCATCCCGTCAAACGATGTGGATGGGAACTGGAATCCGGATGACATAACAAGCCAGGCGTCCAGCGAAGTCATCAAAAGCATCCTGATTGATGTTCCGGTGGCCGGTCCCGAAGCTGATGCTTTGGCTGTACTTCGGGATCAGTTCCAGTCAGAGGTCCAGGCCATTCTCGCACGGTTGCAGGCAGTGGAGACACATCTGGGAATGTCAGTGCCTCCGAGGGGCGGGGAGAACAATCTCTGCCATGACGAGGATACCCCCAGCGCTTTGAAGAAAACGTGGGTGCAGATGTCGCATGACGAGACCATTGATAACGACGTGCTCACCCAGACATCCAGGCTGGAAGAGAAGTCGACGCCGGTCCGTTTCGAAGAAAGTTACCTCGTCTGCAGTATGCGGTTTTTCGAGGCCTGGACACAGAAGCCCACTGAACCATTCAGCAAGGACGCAGCTCCAGTCTGTGACCGAGAGAAGGAGAGAGAGAGAGAGAGAGAGAGTTCTTTTTCTTCAGGCTTCAGCCGTCAAGGTATGCCCAGTGAGAAAGAGAAGTAGTTGCAGGAGAGTTTGATATCGTATACTTTGGGGGCTTAGGGTTTGAGCCTCGTCGGACTGAGCCTTTGAACTCCGGACTTTGACTTAAGTCTTTAGGCGCGTGGAGCATTCCGATCGTCATTGGTTTGGCCGACGTCGGATGGTTTGATGCGATCTGTTCGCTGCTGCTGGTGCCCCCCTGGCAGTCGATTTAGGCTTCGGGGGTCTTGACATCATCCAGGCCATGACCCCACCCTAAACGCTAAACCCTACACCCTTGCTAGCATGGGCTGGGTGCGTTGGTATTATTGGTTCGGGTTTTCAACCACAGTCCTCGTACAGATGTTTGGTGGGGCGTTCTGGCCTTCTGTCAATATATTGGGAGGTTTCGACTGGATCCCTTTAAACACTGGGACGAAGTTGGGTCTTCTTGCTACAATGTGCATTCGGCCAAGTGGCTTTTTGTTCAGGTATTGTCCTGCACTCACAATCCAGCAGTGGTTCAATAGTAAACCCACCAGCAAGCACGCACTCTCTTGAGGCTTTGGGTTGTCGAGGGCACTGTGCCCAGACTTCCAAAAACCGATAACTTCGTGATCGTAGGTTGCAACCCTTGCGCCCAGTTGCTTTTCGGCCCCAAGTTACGGGCCTGGCTTCTAAGGTTTAGGGTTTACAAGGGTTTTTAGATACCCAAGTCTAGCCAGACCACGGACTGCGATCATCTTCACTGGCTAGACCTGAGTCCAGCAACACGGGTTTAGGGACTCTGAAAAGGCCCCATAACTCCGTGGAGTCAGGTGCTGCTGAACTTCGCCATGCAAGTTGCTTTCTCAGGCAACCGGCCCAAAGCCTAAATGTCGCAGACCTCTGGAGCGGTCTACAACTTTGCGAATTGCATGCTAAACTCTAAACACTAAACCCAGTTGTGGCGCTTTGAGATTAGATCTTCTTGAACGAACCTCGAAATTACTGCGCGGGTAACTGCGTTCGGGCTAGTGTTCGAAAGGGGTGGAGGTCCTTCGGGTTGGAGCCGAAGCGGCTTATATACCGATCCAGGACTGAACTGACAAGGGGTAGATAAGTCCAGGCAGCAGTCACTTGCATGCTTTGATGCCGGAACGGTGACGGTGTTTTCAGCGTTTATGTTGGCATCAGGTTGTTTTGATCACATGCATTTCAGTTTGTTGGGAAGGGCAAGAAGCGGACAAGAAGCAGCAGCAGCAGTAGCCGTTACTCGGAAAACCATCACGGTGATGAAATGAAAAACATCATGATGGTGGTGTCTGTGGTGATTAGGATGAAGATTACGATGAGGAATACTGTATTTGCATAGGTATGAGTGATGATGGTTATGATGATTAATTATGATCATGATGGTGATGGGGATGGGGATGGTGATTAGGAGGGTAAGCATGATGAGTTGTGCCGACCATTACGGTCTATTTTGTGGTGATTCGGATGATGAGGAAGACGGTGTTTGCATGGGTGACAGTGATGAAGAGGAGAATCATGGTCATGACCATGGTGATTAGGATGGTGAGCAGTTTGTGTATGCTTGTCTTTCGCGGTAAGGAGTCATGACCACCATGGTTATCACCAGCAACAGAACCACAAACATCGCCACCGCAAGTCGTACCACAAAGAGCATCCTGATTTTCATCAATCTATCACTTGACGGCATTCGCCCCCAAACACCCGCCCCGGAACACTACGTGTAGCAGAACGGGTCGGGATAGGTGGCGCAACCGGAAACTACCCCCCGCCCCCGCCAATCGCGAGACGGGAGGCGTCCTGCTATCCGACAGCTTTATGGGCGACAGCTTTGACACCAAGGCCCATGCCATTGCATGTTTTAGTGTGCGTAGTTTTCAACAGGAATTAACTCAATAGATGTACGGATGAGGGCCGGAGGTTGATGCTTACGACGACGACAATGCAGATGACGACGGGAATGCCCAAACTAGCAATAGAGATTGCCATGCAGGTGGTGACGATGGCAGTGAGTGCGAGGATGACAATGGTGATGATGACGACGATGATGACAATGACGATGATGATTATGATGACGATGCTCATGCTGTTGATGATGGTGATGGTGGGTGTGTGTGTGTGTGATGTCAATAATCATGGCGGCAGAAAGCTCAACAGCACGATGGCAGTCGTAATTGTGATGCAGAGGTGGGTGGTGGTAGGTTGAAGTGGCAGCAAGTGTCCTGACATGGTCACCGTCAGGGTCAACCGCTTGAGGGCTGTGATGGACATGAAGACAGAGGTACAGATTCATGCAGATTCAGAGGAGCATGGCAGAGTTCTCATGCGAAGCAAAACTACTTATCTTCAGGTGGGTAGTGCAAAGACCTGGCGGACGAGGGTGGCTCACGACGATGCCTACCTCGATCTCGGAGGCGCGAGGTGTTTCATGTCGCTGTGTGGCAGGCAAATTTCTTTGGAGGCACGACCTGAAGCCGAAGTTCAACTCTGTAACAGCCTTCAATCTACAGTACGGCCACCGCTGTGTGGTCTCGCAGATATGGCAACCAAGCCTTCGTTGCCTCATCCACTTTCACGCTACAACAGTAACATGCCAGATAAGATGGCACCAGGCATGCAGGACATGAAATTGCCGCCGGCCGACAGTAGGAAGGTTCATGTCAGAATGCGCACGAACCCTGACCACGGGGTGTATTGGGTTTACAAGGTTGTGTGTTTTGAATGAATCGAATTCGTCGTGGGCGTGGAGGTACAAGTCTGGTGTCACGCGTCTGCGCCGGAGACGGCGCCCTGATCCTGTCGACGCAGCAGGCAAGTCCAGGGCCTGGCGGTCCGATCTGGACGGCTTCGACTTAGTTTGGGCCTCAGGAGTTGGCATTGGGTCTTAGGGCCTTAGGGTTGGCATGGGGTTTTGGGGGGCATTTTTTTGTAGTGGAACTATACTATAGTAGGAACCCCCAAAAATAGTATTGGTGATGCTTCAGCCTTCGACAGTAGTTTATTAATCTGTGTTCCGGGAATCCTCACAAAAGGGCAGGGTGCATCGAGCGCTTTTGAGCCAGCCCAAGCAGTGTCCGAGCCACAAGATGCCCCAAACGCCTGAACCCCGGCTTCCTCAGCCTGTACTGCAGCACTGCAGCACCACAGACGCCTTTGATAATCAAGTCTTTTGTGGTGCACGGGAGGGCTGCATGGTCTCGGGGTTTGTAGGGGAGTTGGGATGCTTCAGGGCTGGCAGTTGCATTGCAGCAGGCGACCCTCATCGAGGAGCACCTCAGATGCGATTCCGTTCCCCCCCGCTCCGTAACGTAATGCTGCTGTAGAAACCCACCCGGCTTTTGTTCTGTGGCCAAGCACCCACGATCGCTTTCAAGAATTGCCATTGCGGCATGCAGTCATCTATCACTGTTCGCCAAGTCGAAGAGCAAGCACTGTATTAGCAAGTCTAGCCTGCCCAAGGATCAACAAGTTCCTGGCACTGGGAAAGGATGATTTGGAGCCTCCGGTCTTTCAGATTGGAGTAATGCTCTGCGTGCTATGTATTCTTCTCTGGAGCTTGTGCGTGTACAAGGACCGGCTCTCACGAGCTTCCGGCTAACACTCCTTCGTTAGGGTTGAGGGTGGAAGGTGTGATGTGGCCGTTGGGGTCTGAACTAGCGAGATCTGTGGGCAGTGTAGGAGGTGAGAAATTAAGAGGAGCAGATCTAGAATTGGATTGCCGCAGGATGTTGCCAACACCTACCCATGGCTCTCGACAGGAGATACGCCGAGTATGGCTATCCCTAGAGGCGACATTGCAAATTCCGAAGGCACGCAGAACCTTGGCCTCGCAAGCTCCAAAACCAATCCCAACCTCAAATCCACTCCCAGAATTCGCAGCTAGAGCCGAGAGGAGCAACCCTGCTGCAGAAAAGGAGCCCCCTAGGTAAGCAAAAAGCGCGTGAGGCTGTCTCAACTGAATCCCCGTTGAATCCCCGAAAGAGCCCCAAGGCCTCCGGTCGTGTAAGAAATCCGAACTTCTGGGTTTAGGGTTAGGGTTTCACGGTCTCACGTTGCTCGAGACTTGCAAAGATCTGTTGTTGGGAAAGCTTGATGAATAGCAGCAGCTGTCCTCAACTGAAACCCGTAACTCGAACGCCTGCGAACCTGGAAGCATCTTGGGCCGTATTATGCCCTAACTGGTGCACCCTGAACTCTGTAAACCCTTTAAGCCGTAATGTCCATAAGCCCTAAACATTTAAACCCTACAAGACCGAAATCCTACAAGCCCTCAGCCGTGCACCATAAGCCAAGGAACTGTCTTGAAGAATCAGAAGATCACCAGCATCTCCTGTGGCCGCTACGCGATGCTGCTAGTGACTTACCTAGCCACCTTTCTGCACAGGGCTTTGAGGGTTTAGGGTTGTTTCTGTCATTTCCTGAAAAAAACTTCAGGATGCAACGATCTGTCTTCGCCATGGTGTTCACAGTCACTTCTGAGTGTCACGAAGTCCTGCCATCGCAATGTATGCATCTTACATATCTTACGCTCTTGGCAGAATTTCACCTTGTACTTACAGTTCAAAGCGTCAGTCAGCTCTGGCATCGTAAGATCATGAACTGTAGCCAGTAGTGCTACAGCTTGGCGCGATGCTGTTGTTTTCTGTCACTTTCCCCGGCCGACTTCCCAAGCCGGGAAGCAAAAAACAAAGGTTGTTTAGGGTTTACCTGGCCGCCTTTCTGCACAGGGCTGTAGGGTTTAGGGCCTAGGGTTTACCTGGCCAGCTTTCTCGCAGGGATTTTATTTAGGGCAACTCGTTTTAAGCCTTGGGGCATTGTAGTCCCTGCTGTAGGGCTGGGCGATGTAAGGTTTAGGGTTTGGGGTCCTTGGTTTACGGAAGAGAGTTTCGGGTCAGGGTGTCGATTGGGGTGGACAGCTGTTCGGGTTCAAAGGCGACGAACTTTCTGCCAGGAAGTGTTGGTCTGAGCTGGGGCTGCTTGTCGTGCCAGCCAAGGCAAGAGCATCTATTGCTTCGGTGCTCCTAGTGGCTGGAATTCTCTGGCTGGCCCGGACAACTTCGATTGAGGAGCTGATGCTGAATGCGGTCGCCTTGAACGCCATTTTGGACGTTGACGAGTTCCTGTTTGCGGGCATGACACCCATTAAGGTCCAGCATGCTGTGCAGAGCTTGGAACCCATACACGTGCGGTACAGCCGTCGCCGAAGCCAGTGTGAGACTCTGGTGCATGTCAGCCTGATCCTGACGACGGTGCTCTTGTCCTACACCCTCTTGCTGGTTCCTCTGTCCGAGACCATGCAGACGGTGAAAAATGAGCTCTGCGGTGGCAATCGGACTTTTGTGGTCTCCTACAATCGCGAGACGCAAGAGATCATTGGCTTGACCACAAGACTGCCGGCTGAAGAAGGGGAGAGCAATCTGACCGCAATCGAGCTGGCTGTTAGATCTCACATCGGCAACTCGCCAGAGACTACTCCGGGTCCGGTTCCCGACTACATCACCTTCTCAGTGAATCGAAGAGTTTTCGGAGCGGACGCCGAGCGTTCTATGCTTGAAAAAGCCAGACAATTCCCACTTTGCATGGAAACATTGGTGCTCAATGAGGGTGCCCTTTTGCACAACGATCCGGCGCTGCAGCCACTGGTTGATGTTTTGTTGAGGACAGCGGGTCTGGCTCTCGGCCGGGAGATGGTTTCAAGCTGCCAGGAGCTCAGTGACTTCTGCGACCACGCCGATGCGGGCTTGCTGCGTCTCGTTTGTGGCGAGACCTGTGGCTGCACCGATCCCGTCTCGAACCCATGGTACAAAGTCGAGGCACAAGGCTGCAGTACTTCATGCCTTATTGAGACGAACTGGAATGGAAGGGACATCCCTTGCGTGGACAGCGAGGCGAACCGTAGCTGGGAAATGTTTTGGGATTCGTATCCGGATGCCGTGTCGGCTTTCTATGGGCAGCCGATACAACGGTCCGCCCTGTGGCCAGATCTGAACAGGACCATGCACGGAATGTTGTCTCAAGGCTGTTCGTACCTGCGCGTGGCTCCCTTTGATTCGCCCACCAGTGCTCATTTCTGTGACTTGGCATGCTCATTTCAAAGCATAGCTTTTTCAGTTTAGCGCTCCTTCCTCGATGCCTTGTGCCGTGTCGTCTACTGCGCACTTAAGATAGCAATGGCAAGTTGAAATCCCTACAAGCCACATGTTAGCCTCTTTGGTTGCCCCCGCGCACTTCCCGTCCATCACAATATCATCAAAGACAAATATGCAGAACGGCGACGACGAGGGCAGCAGCAGCAGCAGCAGCGGCGGGGGCAGCAGCAGCAACAACAACAATAACAAGAAGCCTTTAAATTCAAATCAAGTCCAGGCCAGGCAGCAGGCAACTGGAACCCTATTGACCCCGAGCCTCAATCCGAGAAATGAGGTGAGGGCCTCACGACATTGTTCAAGCCTTTGACTACGATTTGCCCGGTCACCTGTGACTGCAAAGTCACACACAGAAACGGGTGCCCTTCCAGCTGCACTGGCCAATTCGATCCGAACCAGGGGTTAGCCTGATGCTGATGGCCCAAAAAGAAGCGAGTGGATGGGACTTACCGGACTTGCAGTAAGGTTGCCCCACGAACACGAATTCCACTGGGGGGTTCCGGAAATTGCATATATCTTACTTGGGGCTTACAGTGGGCTTGATCACAGGGGTCCAACGGTCCTAGTACTTAGTCTTGCGACCATGGTCAATGCTATGGGGTTTAAGGCACAGCTTTATAAGGTTTAGGGATGGAGCGTCACGAGTCGGAGCTCCAAACTTCGCTGTCTCGACTCTCAAGTTTAGGTCCCGTGCATCTGATGAGAAGAAGAGCATCCATGCCCGAACCAGGAGAGCTTCCATGCCTGAACCGTGATAACACCCTGTGCCCGGCACCCCGCAAGAAGGGTAGGGCACTTAAATGCCGTGCTTTTGTAACTAGTATGCTCGGATAGGTGCCTGTCTGAGTCTATGCTATGGCTACACATTCCATAAGCCACTTGCGAGGATACCTAGCCTGAACCTCAACCCTAAGCCCAGTGTACCACATCCAGTTGGAAGTCGGGGAGCCGCAGATGGCGAAATCCCACGTCTGAAATCATTCTTTGCCAGGGTTTTAGGTTTACTTCCAAACATATCCTCACAAGCAGCCTGGAAGCCATAAAAACCAAACTTCTAAGCCTCAAAACTCGAAAAAAGATACAGCGAAACCCTATAGAGATCCGTGGCCCGCAACATCCCCCAAACCTGGCACCTGTTTTGGAGTTTCTTTTGGGCAGGTCCTCCCCCGTGGGCAGCAGACGATCGAGCGGGCACCAAGCGGCCTCGGATGGACCGCCTCGGTGGGAGTTCTGGCACCCTGGAATTAAAAGCTATGTTTGTTTGTTTTGTCTTCCTCCTTCCGGGCACCCTGGGGCTAGGGCCTGGGGCTTAAGGGCTTAGAAGGCTTAGAGTTTAAAGGGTTTATAAAGCTCAGGGATTAGTTAGTTTGGGTTTAGGGGCTGCGCCGTAGGTAACTGGTGGGATGGTGCTGGACGTTTACAGGACTCGCAGTGTTCACGGTGACTACAGACATCATGAGACCGACACCAGTCAGAGAGTAATACGGACAGATACGTTTGGTTGCAGCTGAGGGGTGCCGGGCCGCTGTATACGGTGGATGACGGGCTTGACGGTAGGGTTATTGGGTCAGGTCAGAGTTACTCCGAATCCGAAGGGCAGATGAAGAGGGCTGCGAGCACAACCTGGGTTCTATGTGGGTTCTTCCGTATATGTATGTATATATATATATCCCTCTCTCTCTCTCTCTCTCTATCTATCTACGTATATTCAAGATAGATGAAACCAGTCCAATTTGCGGGGGGGGCATTCGGTCTTGGGACCCCAGGTGCTGAGGTTCTAGTCTAGGGCCTAGGGTCTGGTTTGGACTGAAGCCCTTGACTACTTGGGGTGCAGGTTGCACTCAGCTTGTACAGGAACTCAGTTGCAGGCTTCTTTGCAAGCCTTGCAGATCGCCGGATGTTGTGTTTAAGCTGTAGTTGGGATTGCTGGGCTCGATCCAGCGATGGGGTTGGGTCCTATTCCGACAGCCAATGTAGACAGCCACTACTCCTCAGTGCCTGCAGTAACAGCTCAGTAACATGACATGCTCCGGTGCCAGTTTCGACCCGGAACCACAGCCTAATCCAAAAATGCTTTGCAACTCCCTGCTGCAGCAGCCATGAAGCCCTAAACAGTAGCATGGGGTACAATAGATCCCCAAACCCTAAATTGTAATGTTTAAGGCGGCTATATTTCATTATCAGATCATGCTTGGTCTCTGTTTGTCACGAGGCATGCGCTTTAGCAGGCCGCCTTGTGCAGCTGATTTGGGCGAGACGACTCGTCGCATCATCAGGGTTTATGTTTGATGGTAGGGTTTAGGATTATACTGCTGCTAAGGGCTTCTAGGGTTTGTGGGTGGAGGGCAAATATGGGGTGCGGGTTTAGGGTCTGCGAAGTGCAACTCCCGTAGCGACTTGATACATCGGGTGGTGTTCCTAGACAAAGGCCCGCTTTCCTCTTCCTGACCGTAGGTAAGTCGCGGATTGGGATCTTCCTGTAGACACTGTAGACTCAACATTGGGGGACTTTCAGTGCAACTTGCTCGAGTCGACATTGTTCTCTGCTACGCATTCAGAAGTCGGCTGGATGTTCCAGAGCATTTCACTACTATTGCATGCGTCGCTTGGCTCTGGATACGACGGCGAGAAGAGCGAGAGAGACAGAGACAGAGAGAGAGAGAGAGAGAGAGAAAGACAACGGCAGGCTTGGCTCTTCGAAGCAAGCGCAGCAGTGGCCCACGTATCCAGGTGCATGAGAGCCATGAGCGAAAGGGAGCATGGGTTGAGCGTTGCTTTTCAGACTAAGTGTTCCGGGTTTAGGATTTGCTGGGTCCCTAAGGGGCAGCTGGTTGAATTGCAAACCTGCGTTCGCGTTCTCTGCCCCTGGGAGGAGTGAGAGGCAGTGTGCTTGCTTTGACCGACGTGTTACATCTGGGGAGACCTTGGTCTGTTAGAGCCAGGGCCGGATTTGCTGAGTTGGGGCTTGCAGGTTTAGGGCTTTCTATGGGCTCCTTATTAAGGTTTACAAGGACAATCACGGGGACACGTGCAAGCGTATGAATGTCATTACCGGCACACTCCGAAATGACGTTGCTGCCGGACGTATCTGCCTGTCCAATCCCTGTTTCAGAATGCCTTTCGCCTTGAGGCTGGTCGCAGTTGACCGGCCATACTTGTAGTGGTGAACACCAACCTGCGATCTGTACCAACCCGGCTTCGCCACGACCTCTGAAAGCGTCACCAAGTTGGCACAAATCCTGTAGGCCCTGAACCCTCGACGTCATGTCCGAGAGTGAGCGCCGACAGCCCTAAACAGCGAATTGGCGGTCCGGAGGCCTTGGCAAATTCTGCCCTGGACTTGACGCCCGTGCCCGAGGAGTTGGAGGCTTCTGCAACGCTGAAAACCGCTACTCCCACCACCACCACGACTGCTGCTGCTGCTGCTGCTGCTGCTGCTGCTTCCACTGTTACTACTCCCACTCCTACTCCTACTGCTACTGCCACTGCTACTACGAGCAGCCTGAGCTCTTATGCATGCTCTCCGCAAGGGTCCAAGACTTTTGATGCGGCAGGTCTGCAAGCCGCATGTCGATGTGCTTGTATGTGGGAACGGTTAGACAGCCTGACATGCTTTGACACGGAAGCGCGAAAACTGCACAGTGCTGTCGAGGATGGTCCCCCAGTGGAGAGTAGCTTCCATGCCCTGAGCAAGAGACGAGCATCCCAACAGAACCTGACACGGACTTGTTGCTTCAGCAGGCGCCGGAGCAGCCCTGCGAAATCGAGGTTGTCGATGCCAACCCGGTTGCAGCTTAATGCCTTCGGCGGCTTTAGTTTCGGTGGGGAAACAGTGTAGGTTTCGTCTTATCTCGGCCAGAACCATAGACTTACCCAGCTGCCGAGCAGCCACCGTCTTTCGTGCTCCGAAAGACTACCGTCCCGTGTTCCTGGCGGTGTGGTCAACTCGTGTACACTTTTGGAGCTGCCGCATGTTGTCTTCTTGCTTATCCTCCGCGAGTTTCCTGAGCAAGGTATGGAAGTGCAGTCATGTGAGAGCGCTGAACCTCCGTATGCTAAGACCTCCAGGCGATTGCACAAGTCCTGATGCCAATTTAGATGGGATCGGGATTGCATCCCATGTTTGACGGAAGGCGACTTGTGCTGGAGGCCCAATTCGCACAGCGAAGGCAGAGGCAACACATACATAGAAGCATCGACTACTATGTGTTTCTCTGGTTTAAAGGTGCTGCTCAGTTTGGGGGCCTTCCGGAACGTGTCCACTCACGGCACAACTCTCACACCCCCAAAGCTTAAGCCGACCCTAAACCCTAAAGCCCAAAACCAAACCCCTCAACCCTTACCGCTAAACCCTACCGCTAAACCCTAAACCCCAACCCCCATTCCAGCAACCCTGAAGGGCACCGAGGAAGTTACGAAGCTCGGATGCTGCAACATTCAAAGAAGCAGAAAGATCAAAACTGCAAAATCCCCAACTTACGGAATCTTCGATAGTAGGGAATACTACCAGGCTTCTTGTCGGTTTGGGGTTTAGGGTGTGAGAGTTACTTGGAGCGAGTTAGTAGCAGCGATGCCACAAGAGGGCACGAGAATCGAATGATGCTGAAACATAAGCTATACCAGTGGCCAACCAAAACTACCGTTTTAACGAATTCTATATAAAAACCATAATAAGAAGGAACCTTAGAAAGGCAGGTTTCCCCGGCTACAGGTATGGTAGAAGACATAAACTTGGAACCTTCGAACCCTCCTGCGCTTAAAGTAAAAGTCTTTAGGGGATCCTTGCCCTAATCATCGTAGGCCAATGTTCCGACTTTCTGGTGTTAGCTCACAAATCCATCCGTCCAGGCCGTGGGAGTCGGAAGGAAGTGTGCTAATCCACTTCTGCAGCCTTGCCGCATGAGGGGAATAGCCTCTCCGGTCGGACGTGCCCTTCCTCAGCTGCTATATATGGTAGTTTCCGAAATTAAGGGCTCTTTTTGGGGTCCCTATAATAAGGATCCTACTATTTGGGATACTATATTAGGGCCCCCGAGTTTCGGAAACCCACATAGAGGCCTTTAGGATTAGAAGAGGCCTCCCTGGCAATTGTCGCCGGTGGCCGTGTGAGAAAGTGAGCTTAACAAGATGCAGGGTGTCGGGTTTTAGGGTTTAGGGTTTAGGGTTTTGGGTTTAGGGTTTAGGGGTAGGGGAACACCCACTTGTGGGAGAAAAGCCCGCAACCCCGAAACAAGGCAGTAGAGCGCAGGTGGCCATTGGCTTGCTTTGAGAGTTCCTCTAAGAATTCTAAAAGCAGGTGCTTTAGAAGAATAGATACCTCCTAAACGCCAAACCCCAAAACCCCGAACCCTAAACTTAATGAAACGTGAGTGAATCGGGGTTCGACGAGGTACTTCAGCCGTGAGAAGACG